ATTCAAAAATTCAAAAATTCAAACATTCAAAAATTCAAAAATTCAAAAATTTCAAAAATTTCAAAAATTCAAAAATTCGAAAATTCAAAAATTCAAAAATTCGAAAATTCAAAAATTTCAAAAATTCAAAAATTCAAAAATTCAAAAATTCAAAAATTTCAAAAATTTCAAAAATTCAAAAATTCGAAAATTCAAAAATTCAAAAATTCGAAAATTCGAAAATTCGAAAATTCAAAAATTTGAAAATTCAAAAATTCAAAAATTCAAACATTCAAAAATTCAAAAATTCAAAAATTTCAAAAACTTCTACCTCCCGGTTTCAGCATACACTTAATTTTGAGCATCTCTCTCAAATCTCCAATAGGATCCATCGGATCTCCATATCTACCCAATCCAGAATGTTCAATTGATGAAAATGATGCGGCAAAATCAAAAGTTCCAGCGTATCTGAAAATCTCAGTATTCCAAATTTTCAGATTTGCATGAAAAACTAACTTTTCCCAATTTCTCACGAAATCCACCGGAAGAATCGATGACAATCTGTCTTGAAATTCCGGTTGAATGGTCAATTTGTTGTATTCCACTGTCAGAATTTTTTTGGCGCCTGAAAATTAAAATTTTCAAAAAAAAAAATTTTTTTCAAAAATTACCATTTTTCAGAGCATAAACTTCCACCCATGGTTGCATGGACCCGACCACAACCCCAGTCAAATTATCCAGACGATTTGCAGCCATCGCATTGTACATGGATTCTGAAAATAAAAATATTAAAAAACAATTTTTTTGACAATTTTTTTAATTACCTGACTCAACTGGATATGCCAAATTTGCAATTTGCTTTTTCGAATAGGTCATAATTTCTGAAATGCGATCCCAATTTCTTGGTTTGTCACCCCATCCCGAATTTTTGTCATTGAAGTAGTACTGGAAATTTTGGAATTTTGGATTTTTGAATTTTTGAATTTTTGGCATATCTTATCAGAACTTCCAAAATTAAAACATTCTAAAATTCAAGCTTAGGCTAAGAAATGGTGGGGACCTATTTTTGAATTGGTGGGGGTCTAAAATTGAATGGGAGGGGAGCTATTATTGAATAAGTTGGGGTGGGGGGGGGAAGGACTCCANACATTTTCAAATTTCTATTATTTTGATATATGCCACAGCACAGTCACAAAATAACAACGGACACCAAACCATAACTTCCTGTTACTGTACAAGCGAGAACGCGTCCGT